ATTTTTTTTAAAGCTCCCAAAGGGGAAAAATCTTACCCAATAGAACAGGGGTCTCCAACCTTGGCAACTTTAAGACTTGTAGACTTCAACTCCCAGAATTCCTCAGCCAGCTTTGCTTTGCTGGCTGAGGAATTCTGGGAGTTGAAGTCCACAACTAACTCCTTGCTTGATTGCAGGCAGGGAGTTGCTTGCTTGCCTGAATAGATTCAAGCAAGCAAAGCAAGGCAAGCGTTGCGATTAGCAGCTGAGGTAAGCAAGCTGGAGGGGGGAAAACTTTTTCCCTTTTACATGGCTCTGGCCATCCCAGCTGAGTTGCAGGGAACTCAGCTGGGATGGGATCGACCGTCAGAACTGGGACCGTCAGAGCCATGGTTCTGGCGATCCCAGCTGAGTTGCAGGGAACTCAGCTGGGATCGTCAGAGCTGGGATCCTCAGAGTAAAAGGGAAAAAACTTTTTCCCTTTTACGTGGTTTCTGGCGATCCCAACTGAGTTGCAGGGAACTCAGCTGGGATCCTCAGAGCTGGGATCCTCAGAGTAAAAGGGAAAAAACTTTTTCCCTTTTACGTGGTTTCTGGCGATCCCAACTGAGTTGCAGGGAACTCAGCTGGGATCGTCAGAGCTGGGATCCTCAGAGAAAAGGGAAAAAACTTTTTCCCTTTTACGTGGTTTCTGGCGATCCCAGCTGAGTTGCAGGGAACTCAGCTGGGATCGCCAGAGCCATTTAAGGCTCGTCAGCCTGGTTACAGGAGAACTACACCCGGCGTATAAGACGACCCCCGACTTTTGAGAAGATTTTCATGTGTTAAAAAGTCGTCTTATACGCCGGAAAATACGGTAAGTGAGAAATTTTATTATTTTGATGCTAAAACTGCAAATGTTAAGATTACCTTCTTAATTCTATTTAACATGGCTGAGGCATTCATAGAGTAATTTGTCATATTTGAAAGTACCATTTGAAAGCTTTGGCAAAAAATGGATTTAAGATGCTGATACAAGTTTATTACACATTGAAGTGTAATAAGAAGTGCAGTTGATCCAGTACTGTACAGAAAAAAGCATAGTTAGATGACCCAGAGATGAACACATTTGTTGTTGTTTTTATGATATTTTACAATATGTTTGCTGATTTCCACAGCCTTGTTTAAATTCAAACAAAGACCTTTTTACATCAACGCTGTAGCATTTCATTTTTTAGTTGTACATTTAATTCTCCACAGCAGATGGTGATGAGTGGGTGAAACTATATATTTGTGACAGAATCCTTATCCTGCAAAATTAAAAAGTCTCATACTGAGATTTAAAACTCAAACAACCACACACACACACACGCGCACACACATTTTAAATGCAAAATTTGTTTTTTTAGTATTTATTTTAATGAGTAAATAAATTTAATCATGCCTTCAGGACTCAAAATACTGTTATAAATCTGAAACTCACTTGTAAAATAAGTGCCATATTTTCAGTTGGAACATTAGGCTTTTTCAGATGTTGCTATGAAGAAGGTTGCTAAGAAATTTAATTACTTTTTAATAATGCATAGTAAAATAGAAGTCTAAAACTTTACATGTTTTCCACAAATTTTCATCTCCTAGACATCACTCAACCCCCCCCCCCAAAAAGAGATTGTTTGCTTTCTGTATAAAATATGAATGTTCTTTCAAACTTTTTGAAGCTATTCTGCCACACCATCTTATCAGAAGCAGCAGCCCACACTCAATATATTAAAGAAAGTATAACATTAAATTGCAACTTTCATCTCAAAAAAATGTTACAAACACATCTTCGGGGGCAGAAAGTACTACAGGTATCTACTCACAACCTCTTGTTTGGTGACCTTTCAAAGTTACACAGCACTGAAAAAAATGACTTATGACTGGTTTCACACTTCGGACCGTTGCAGCATTGCCATGATCATGTGATCAAAATTTGGGCGCTTGGCAATTAGCATGTGTTTATGACAGTTGCCCTGCAAAGCAAAGTCAGTGTGGGAGGTCCAGATTCGCTTAATGACTGCATGATCAGGTTACAACTGCAGTGATTTGCTTAACTGTAGCAAAGAAAGTCTGTAAAATGGGTGCAACTCACTTATTAACTGTCTGGCTTAGCAACGGAAATTTTGGACTCAATTGTGGTCGTAAGTCAAGGACTGCCTGTACTGCATTATTCTACTTAATGATACTTCTTAAATTATTGTGTCATTTTTAAATAAGCTACCCTTTAATACATTTACATACATTTTACACAATTCAGTGTAGCAACTTACATTGTCACAACACATCATTATCACTAATAACAGTTCAATATATGTTGGAGCTGCTGATACAATTCTAGAGAGGAATTAATGAGTATGTCATCTGCACCTCTATAATTGTCTGGTTTGGTTCTGCAACCCAACAAGACAGACACAGACTTCAAGGGATAATTAGAACTGCAGAAAAAACAATGGCTACCAACCTGCCTTCCACTGAGGACCTGTATACTGCATGAGTCAAAAAGAGGGCTGTGAAAATATCTACAGACCCCTCACATCCTGGACATAAACTTTTTCAACTCCTACCCTCAAAACGACGCTATAGAGCACTGCACACCAGAACAACTAGACACAAGAACAGTTTTTTCCTGAACGCCATCACTCTGCTAAACAAGTAATTCCCTCAACACTGTCAAACTATTTACTAAGTCTGCACTATTAATCTTCTCATCGTTCCCATCACCCAACTCTTTCCACTTATGACTATATAACTGTAACTTTGTTGCTTGTATCCTTATGATGTATATTGATAGTTTCCTGATTGCTTATTTGTACCCTATGACTATCATTAAGTGTTGTATCTCATGATTCTTGGTGAACATATTTTTTCTTTTATGTACACTGAGAGCATATGCAACAAGACAAATTCCTTGTGTGTCCAATCACACTTTGCCAATAAAAAAAAATTATATTCTATTCTATTTAAATGATTGAAAAATGATTAGAATAGAAAAATCTGACGTGAAAATGGTATGGAAGAGAAACCAAATGAAGATAGGAAATTCCAATGAAGTGGGTAAAAGGTAAACATTTGAAGAAAATCTAATATAGCTGAGGATGTACTTTCCGTTTTAAAAATATCAATAACTTGGTAGCATTCAACTAACACATTTAAACATAAATAACTGAATTACTGACATAATTATGTATCATAATAAGCCTTCTTACCAGAAAAAGATGTCAGCTGAAGACAGTATCAGGATCAGTAATATTTAGCAAAAATGAAGAGCAGAGATAGACTGTAGCAGTTAACTTGTCAGTAATAATTAATAATGGTTATCTGTTTAGCTGAAATAAACTAGAACTCATTAAATAGAGAAGTTGGTTAGTGTTCTGCCCCAGCTACGGACCCCAAAGAATGCAGCACACACAAAGTCTGTACAAATCTTAGTTTACTAAAATCAGTCTATTTCAAACAAAGGCTGTTAATTAACTTTCTTAACAGCCTACAAGAATCCAAAGAATAAATAATTGTAATCTTACTATGGTTGGCAGAAAGCCCAGAAGCAATTTTCAGGAAACTGATAAGAGAACTAAGATCCAGATGCAAAGAAGAGTGAATGAAGTTGTTCCCTGCAAATTGCTTCAGTCGTCGTCCTTCCTTAAATAGGCTAAGTGGCCAATTAGCTCCAAGCCTTACTCTCGAGGAGACCTCCTCCTGAGGACCCACTCCTGCCTTTTGGCAGCTCTGTGCGCCCATGCATCGAGAAGAGGCTCCCCCTCTTCATTTATGGGAGCTTCTGGAAGTTCTGAAGGCCCTGGCTGAATCCCCGCCTCTGGCACCACATCTTCTCCAGCCTCCTCATTGTCTGACTTGAGTGCCAGCTGCACAGGCTGCTGGCGCAACACCACACCAGCCTCCTCGCTGTCGGAATTAGCTACTAGCTGCACAGGCCACTGACGGGCCATAACAGTTAGACAACAATGCCAGAGATAAGAAAGGACAGTACAGTTACCTTTTGTTCAGCAATCTTCTAAGGCTAATTTAAAAGTTAATAGGAACTTTAAAAAATTCATTTAAACCTGGTGAGTTGTGATGTCTTCTCGGAAATATATGCATTTAATGCAAAGTTTAAGGCTGATTGGTGGGTCCTGTACCACATCTTTTTAAAATATTCTACTAATAATTTATCATAGCTATGGGCTAGAGTTGTTTAAATAAATGCTGCTTACACAGAATCAGCACTTTTGCAAAATGAAACGTTGCTTTATTAGCTTACTTAAATGTTTGAAAAAATAAACTGGTCAAGTAGCGATGATAACACATCATAATTTTGAATATTAACATCTTGGCAAACTGTAAGATGTAAAGTAGTGGTTGGATATTCCTTGTCCACAATCAAAATGTCCCTCCCTTTTGCAAACGGTACTTTTAAAATGGTACCATTTAAAACGCATTCCTCTACTATAAGAAGTGAACTTTTAGATTCAATCTTGAGATTTTTTATAAAAAAGCTAAGAAGGCACGACTTTTTGATTGGTAATTGATTGGTAATAGCAGGAAGTCGCAAAGTATTTTCATAACTTAAAATTAGAATCTCAAAATATTTTAAGAAATAAATGGAGAATTTGATAATTTCAAATTACTAATGGTTTTCCCAAATATCACAAGTTATTTACATCTCAAGTAAAATATTATATCAATATTGTCCTGAATGATGTGAATATAGTTATTGATAATTAAACATACTTTATAGTGAACATTAAATATTAGTAAATTTACAGATCTATATTTTTTTGTGCACAGATCCCCAATATTGGAAGGTTCCTCTAATCTATAATAGGACAATTTAAGGAAAACAAAATAGTGTGAATTTTTTTAAAGTTTCCCCTGTAGTCTTCATGAGGCATGATGATAAAGAAAGGAACAGCAATGGGGGGAGGAAAGAAAATGATTTGAAAATATGAGCTGAAATGAGAAATATAGTATATAGTGTATAACTGACCTTCTCATCTTTCTCCTAGCTGATTGTGAGGTCCTGGAATGCTGTGCATGTAATTTTTTTTTTTTTTTTTGTAAAAATTGACTACAAGCATGAAAATCTGCAAACAAGAGGATGGAAAAAAAATTCAACTTTCAATGACATCTACAGAATAAGGAAATCAAGTTAGTTGGGAAGTACTACTTAGAACATTGACCATTGTTAGTACAGTTAATCCAGTTCTATTTTATTTCTTCTATGTAAAAAACATTAGCCAGATTTATGAGCAAAAATGCAGTCTTCCACTTCCAATGGTCTTATGAGTACTGGCACTTTAAAAAGGATGTTTCTATTTTATGAAAAGCCTCTCACATCAACATTTCACTAGTTACGTACAACATATTTTTCTCTACAATGCAACAAATAATGTTATTTAATAAAGCCTTGAACAGTGGAAAGAAAACTTTATTTCCTAACATGAAAATAATTATTCTTACAAATATGGCAGGTATCTTGCAAAAAAAAAAAAAAAAAAAATGTTCAGGTAATTCTTGACTTACAACCACAATTGAGCCCAAAATTTCTGATGTTAAGTGAAACATTTGTTAAGTGAGTTTTGCCCGATTTTACCACCTTTCTTGCCACACTTGATAAATGAATCACTGCAGGTATTAGTAAATCTGGCTTCCCCCTTGATTTTGCTTATCAGGTTACAAAAGGTGATCACATGACACTGGGACACGCAACCATTATAAATATGAGTCATTTGCCAAGCATCTGAATTTTGATCACTTGTCCATGGGCATGCTACAATGGTCATAAGTATGAAAAATGGTTGTCACTTTTTCCAATACTGTTGTAACTTCGAATGCTCACTGAATGAACTGTTGTAAGTCAAAGACTACCTGTATTATCTTTACCAAACGTTCTGAATATTACCACACAATCATCTAACACACTGTTCCATTTTTTTTGGCTACTAAAGTAGTTTTATGAGGTGCATAGGAAAAGACTTGAGAAAAACATGGACATACGTTTTATTTTTTTAAGAGGAAAAAATAAATATATATACAGCAAATAAATTTCAAGATAAAGTACCGCTTTCTGTAGACAGATATGATGTAAAGGAAGTTAAAAATAACATTCAATTATCCCATTTTTTCATGGACTTTGTAGATCACACATATAGTTTACCACTTCTATCAACTCAAAAAAAATATTGTAGGGTTAAAAGTTTTAGGAGAGAAAAATGAACCAACCCTACTATGCTTAGGGCAGCACATCTATTGCTGTTTTTTCTTCTTCTGATTTGCATAAGAATTATTTAGAGCACAAGTGTCGAACCTTGGCAACTTTTAAGAGTTGTGGACTTCAACTCCCAGAATTCCACCAGCGAGCTATATTGGCTGGAAAATTCTGGGAGGTGAAATCCACAACTCTTAAAATATGTGAAGGTTGGATACCCCTGGTTTAGAGGATTGGCTGTCTAATTGTGCAAGCTGGTAGTTGTTAAATCTACTTTCCTTTTCTTTGTTAGCTAAGTAGTTGACTCTAGAAATGGCATAAAGTCTAATTGGCAGGCCTCCCAATAGAAGTGCTTACACCACAGGGTACTCACGTATTCTTTTTAGCAGCCACCAATGTCTACGCTTAGTTGTTCTTCTAGTTTTCCCGTATTTTGGGAAATACATCCCCGTGTTTCTATTGATTCCTTGTATTTTTGTTATGTTTATTTCATAACAACTCTGCATATGCCTCCCTTCTCATGCTTCTAAGTTCTAAAAAGGTCTTTTCTCATCATTAGTATTACTAATTTGGTTGTTATTGGTACTTCTTATCAAATCCAAGTTTAAAACCTGTGAATTTTGGATTATATATTTTTCTGGGTTCTAGTTTATCTAAATGACTTGACTCATGGCTATCACTTTTGCCTACCATGCCTATGTGACAATAGGATCAGATACACTTATACATTGACATAAATGTAGAATGACTGTAGGCACGCTCAATATAGGGATTTGAATTCATCTCTTATTTTGCAATTTTATTTTTCATTAAAAAAAGCCACACAGTAAATGTTTTACACTCAATGCACAGCTGCCTTCCGAAGAATAACTAGTTTGCTGGTTTCTATTTTTGTTTCTGTAACTAGAACACCGTATTTATGAAACAAAATACTTCACACACCAGTTAACAATCTTACTTCACACTTCCGTGGTGAAAAGTCATGCAATCAGGATTACATCTTCTCACAAACTACTTGGTGCAGCCTTTAATATTCATACATGGGCCAATTCTGATGCAGACAATCTTGTGTCTATTTTCAGAATTCATCTTCTGTTGTCTGGTAAATTAGACTTTGATTCAACCATCTCGATGCACAGAAACTCTGAAAAAAGCAAGCTAGTTACTTGATCCTTTAAATTGCTTTTAGTGCATTTGCAAAAATTATTCTTTCCCCTTCTCATGTTATATAGTTCATGCAGCTTGAATATAAATACAGCCACAGTCAGGGAAGTTAAGTGTTGCCTTGTATAAGCATAATAAACTCTACTGCACAAGTACATTACCTCAGCTTTAGAACATTACAGGTAATCCTCAACTTGTGAACCTTAGTTTAATGAACATTCAAAGTTACAATAGCATTAAAAAGTGACATGACCAGTCTTTGCACTTATGATTGTCACAGCATCCCTGCTGTTACGTGATCAAAATTTGGGTGCCTGACAACCAGAATGTATGATAATAATTGGTGTCTGGGGACGGGGTGGGTTGGTGGTGTTTCACACAATCACCACCTTCTCAGGGAGCTTCTGATGAGCAGAGACAATGGAGGGAATCTAGATTTGCAGCAAAAAGGTTGTAATATTGTGTGTGACTCACTTAATGACTGCATTTTTTTTGCAACAGACGTTCCAGTCCCAATCGTTGTTGTTGTAAGTTGAGGACTACCTGAATATGCATGTACAGTCTCTAGTATTATGTGAATACACTGATGAATAGTTCTATTCATCAGAACTATAGTTGGGGACCAGGCATCTGCTATTGATTTCTGTAGGATCCAAAGCATAAGGAGAAAATAACAGATTTTATACTACTTGTATGATGGATTTCTACATTGCAGAAGTAAATAGCTGATGTTGTAGAGATGCTTAATAGATGATGCCAGCAATTGCTTTATTATGGGGTTCAGACCTTTTCAAAATATAGTCAACAGTTCAAAATCCATTCATGTGTTACTTAGTTTATTCTATTACATTATTATGAGGAATGTTGGCTCCTTCCTGGATTATAGCATTAAAATTATCATTCTCTACTGAAGGATTTCCACATGTATTCATCTGCTACTGCCTTTGAATTATTTGTCATTTTTCTAGAACACACTTTTTAAATGAAAAATAATAAATATAAATGCATCATTTAGCAACATTTTGGTAACCAACAGATTTTTAAAACTAACTTTAAATGTGGTTAAGCAATCTGACCAAAAACCTCTTTGTAGTCCATCACATATGCTCACTATTCTTTCCTTTATCATTAGCTACAATTACTCTGTTATCATTAAAATGCAGCTTTTGGCGATAGCTGTCAAAGTCACTCTATTAAATGATTCAATGGTTGGTTATAGTTTCTCTCTACAAATTCTACTGAGTGGCTTGTAAACCTCTACTCCGGCCTTCAAGATGATTCAAGAAGTTTCTATTATTAATCACAGCGTGCTTTAGATCAAATTCCAGTTCAGCTATCATAATACATACAGTACATTTTAAAAATCAATAGAGCAGCAAAATGGGCGAGAGAAGTAGGCAGATTTATGATGAGACGGTGGCAGGGAGAGAAGGCTGCTTTTCTTGGTGCTACCAGAATTGAGAATAAGAAGTCTTGATTTCTGAGGATTAATTTTATCCTAAAAGTTACCCATCTTCCTTTAGAGATGCTTTATGTTTTAGAATCTTAATCTTAAATGCAAATTTGAAAGCCATTTAAGTATTGTGATTGTAAAATGATTGAATTCTGCATTCATATGATTGTTCAATAGCTATTAAACAAATACCATAATTTATTTGTAAGGAGCCCCCCCCCCCCCCACACTATATCTAGAAAGGGTCAAGTCAGGGAGACCAGCCAGTTGAGAAATAAAACCCGATTGTAGATTCTAGCAGCACATAATATTCTCCGTATCGAAATCCATATCGAAAATACTTATGTTACTCATTTTTACATTTTTATATATTTTCCCCTTTCCTTTTTTTCCTATCTTGTTTATAACAGGATTTGACAAACATGAAAGACTGTTTCCAATCTTAACCTATATTTGTTTCCATTCAATAAATCAGGCAATTGCAACGTCTATGAAGTAATTTCTTCCTGTTCCACAAGGTGTACTTCCCCACAATAGTTGAAGTGTAGTTGGGAAATAGATTTAGCCCGCTGTATGTCAAAGGAGGACTGGTTTCAATCACTGCAACTAAACAAAATCTAATCGCAAAATGTAGGTCTGTGATGAGGTCTGTGATGAGATGTTCTACAATGATGGGGAAGGGTCTCAGGATGTTCAGGTCCTTTCTCAAGGTACATCAAATGCTTTAAAAAAATAATGAATTTTGTCTGAGGCTTCCTTCCCAGGAATATCTTTCCACTCTAAACTCTAATCTGAAATATTTAAAAGTCATGAAATGACGTTTCATGAAGGTTCTGAACAGAAGTTCTCCTTTCCTTATCAATCAACAGAGAAGATTTATATGCTAGAAAATCCAAAGCATAAAGAGAATGGAATTCTCCTAATTGATAGAAGAGAATATGGAAGGGAGGAACAAGGAAAATGATATAAGCACTATTTGTACCTCTATTCCACCTATTCTTCTCTGTTAAAATACAAACAATTGCTGATAAGGTATGATGCACCATTCTGGGACCCCTCTTGTACTAATCACAATTAAATGCCTAAAAACTACTAGATTAGGAACTAATATAATGCATCTGTTGTTATTAAGATGCCTGGTACACATTTAAAAAGTTGTCAAGTACATAGTCATTCTACACACTTACATTTATAGTGAGGATAATTTAAATACAAACAATTCAAACATAACAAGATTGTGAAAAAAATCATTTATAATACTTCCCTCAAGAAATACGGGAAAGTTAAACAATAAGT